TCCGAACACACAGATAATACCATTCTTAGCAAGCCATATAAAGCAGATGATCTCATGTTTATACATGTATGTTGCTCTCCAGTTCTTTCTGACATGCAAAGAAATCAACACCATGCTGGCTTAAACACATTTGTTATGTTAATATCTGCTGCTACTTTCAATTTCCTCCCTCTCCAGCACTGCTTCCTAGTTGGTCTGCTATACTGGATTTTTCTCTGTGTCCCTCCTTTCTCTCTACCCCCTCCCTTGCTCCTTTTGGATATGGCTTTTTTTTTTTTTTTTTAATAGTCAGAATAAATTAAAATCAATTTAAGATGGAAATATGAAAGGATTACTGTATACACTGCATAAAATGATTGTTTAACACATTGACTGCCAATCACGAGTTCTTATTTTTGTGGTCTTGCCAGCTGGGCTACAACCACAAGTTTATTGTTTGTAATACAAATATGATATCTTGCGTCTACAGCAGGAATGAAAAATCACAGTGGCAACTAAGTACAAATTTTTTATAGGAAAAATTTATTGAAAATCCAACACCTAAATGAAGCATTTGAAAAAGTTTTATTATCTAAGTTGGCACTTAGTCAGATTTTGTAATTGACTGCTGACAGTAAATGTGTTAAAACTTTAGAAGTCTAGCATCTTGGGTGTATTCTGTTTTATCCATGTCATAAAAAAAAAGTTAAATCTACTTTTATAAGGTTTTTACATGTGAGTTTTTATAATAATTAGGAAGATATATATTTAGTGTATCTATATGCATGTCCATACCCCCCACTCTTTTTTTTTTTTTTTTCAAATGTGTCTTTTTCTAGACTTCATCAATTTTAAACAGTCTATCACAATTATAAGACACTGCCATCCGGCATCATCAATATAATGGACACAAAATATACCAATATGAGATGGAAAAAAATGTTCCTGGAACTATACATGATGTAGTTCAATGAAAATATATACATACAAATAATACTAATTGGTACCTAACCTACTGAGTCTATCAAAAGATTCATGCTATCTGCTCAAGTATGGTTACTGAGTGTGGTTTTGTGATATGCTGAAATAGCTTTATGATCTTTACAATGCCTGACTGCATCAAATATTGTGTGGTAATTGAAACTTTTAGGATTTTTGGTGGACATTATTTAGGTTCAACATAGATTTTTGAGTAGTAGGAACATTTCAAGGCAAACCAAGTATCAGTCCAAGGTGATGAGCATTCAGGGTGACCACTTGCAAACAAAATGCCTGAAAACGTGGGAAGAAAAACTACTGAACTCATCCATGAAGTGTATCAATGAAAAATCTATTAGATAGATAGATATTCACATATATATATATATATATATATATATATCTCATAACTGGAGATCCAAGTTTTAGAATCTGATACCACCTTGTATTCTTGGAATATTATACAGTAAGATCTGTTGTGAGATAATTGTATTTTATTGAGCGATTTATTGCAATTAAATTTGACTTTTCTTGCTATGTCCATTGCAGCAATTGTAGGCAACCAGCATCATCTTCTGCTTTTGCTCTTTTCTCATCCTTACCTGTATCTTCCTATTCTCTCCCTTATCCCTTCCAGTTTTTGTTGGCATCCATGATTTTATCTCGATACATAGTTGCATATGTGAAAACTGAATAAAGAATGTACAAAGATTTTACGTTTTTTATTTTCTTTGGCTTTATCAGAGAATATTAATGTCTTGCAATTTTTCTCTTGACATCCTTACCTTTCTCTTGATATCCAGCAAGCAAACACCTCACTCTCTCTTTGTCTCCATCCCTTCACCATTTCTATCTCAAAATTCTTTTTTCCTTTCACCTGGTCTTCCTTTTATTTTTCTCTTACTTTCTTGTATTTTTTTCTAAATCCTTTCTCTTGCATGTCCCAATTCTTTTCAGTATAATATTTTACATATCTATATTTATTTATTTTTTTTTTTTTTTTTTTTTTACAGAAAGTGATTTGGCTGGTTTTTCTTGTTTACATCCAGTTCAGCAGTTTGTTGTTTCACTTTCTTGCAAAAGTGAGTAGAGATTTGCTAAGGATAGACTCAGCTAATTGTTGATAGTTACCGATCTTACACATCATAATGTATATACTTTTGCAGTCCTCACTCCACATGTAAAATTATAACTTTCAGATGAACATAACAATTTTGTCTTTGGAAATAATGAACACTACATTTTTGTCTTAAAAGCACACTCTGAAGATGACATTGTGTTAGTGTCGAAAGTACTCTGAATAAAACAGTATGTATGAACGCATTAATTTCCTCTCTTATTTTAATACTGACAGCAGAAAGCTCATTTGATAATATGAACGGATCCTGTTGAAAAAAAAGCAGACGAGACTTGTCTAAACTATTTGATGAAACTTCCTCCCTCTTTCTTCCCCCCCCTCTCTCTCTCTCTCTCACACACATACATACATATATATATATATATATATATATATATATATATATATATATATATATATATATATAATGTGTGTGTGCTGGAAGTCTTCATGTTTACTGAAAATACATTAAAGCATATTGTAACTTGATTTTAAATTACATCTGATTTTAAAAGCCTTTTTTTTTTTCTTTTTCTTTTAATGAATAATAAAAACATTATTCAGAGAAATCTGATACCAGTTGATTTTTTTTTTTTTTTTTTAATTTATTTATTTATTAAATTCCAGCTATTTTCATATTCCCCCGGCCTTCAGTATACTCTCAATATGAAGAGAGGGACTTTTCTGTGCAAAAAAACAGTAGCAAACAGTTTAAACATTAACAGCAGTGCATGTAAGTCATTCTATTTTCAACAACATATGCAGTACAGCTTGTTCCATAATTACTACCCTGGAGATGATCTCAATCCTTTTTGTTGGAAATGGTAGTTTTAAACCATTTCCCTTTTGTTTAACAAAATCCACACTGGTCTGATTTATGTATATGATCAAGAAGTTTACTGATTTCTTTCAATTTTCTTACTTTCTATCTGTGCTCTGTCAATCTCTTTGGTTGATAGTCATTATCTTCTCAGAGCTATAGACAATAAAGAGATAAGTTCTGCATCTCGTTTGATGAATCTATAGAATTCATAATTTGCTTTTAATACTATTTTCTTTGAATTATTTAAAGAAAGACATGTTTAAATTCATGACAGTAAAAAACAAAAAAGTGATTGTTGTATTAGGTCAATAGAAATGCATCTGACATTTCACATTTTTCTTTTCTCTTTTCTGCAAACTCCACCCTCACCTTTTATTTGAAACTAGGAAATTTCTGGAGGAAGAGGCTGCATTTTCAACTGAAGATGGAATTTTTTATTTCCATCCTTGTTATTGTTAACATGTATTCTTTTTGTCAAGAGAAAGACAAATCTATAAATGCCAACCAAAGACAGTCTTTTATTTTATTTTCATTTTTAATTGGAAGATCCATATAAAATAATACAATATCACTCTCTTTTGAGTGATTTTATTTTCTCATCGAGATTGATCAAAAAAAAAAATGGCTCAATAGGCAACACTTTGGCTATTAAATGCAGTAGAATTTTCCATTATTTGCATTTAATGTGTTAACATTTACAAGGCATTACTTGTGAATTTTATAATAAATGGGTGCTCCATTACTGTGGCTTTGTAGCAGACTAGCAAATATCTGTAGTATATTTGCATTCTATCAAAGTTTATACATTTGCCCCTTTCAGAATGAAATCCTCCAACATTCCAAGAGAAATACATTAGTTCAAAATTTTCATGATTGATAGTATGGTGTTAAAAAAATGTTGGTCTCCTTAAAAAAAAAAAAAACACCAAACAAACAAAATAGAAACAATTCTTCTATTTGGCCAACATTTCTATCTTGACATTGGTTATAAATAATAATTCAAACCTAGTGGATTAAAGCATTGATTTACATTGGTGACCTAGTAATTGAGAGTTCAATCCCTGAGTTGGGTCATACAGACTTAGTACTGCTTGCCCTGTTTCCATTGACTTTAAGTAAGAACTAGACAAGATATCTCTAGACATGGGTAGCAGAACAACAATCTATCCCCATAAATTAAAGAGTTCAGTTCAAAATTTTCTGAAGGTTAAACAGATTGGCAAGCACCTGATAAAGGCCAGAGGGCACAGTAGCCAAAATGTGATAATAACAACAAAGATAAGGACAATAGATCAGCTCTTGACCAAATCAGTTTGCTGACAGGCTTGTGAAACTCTCTACTATTTGCACAAAGAGGAACCCAGATGAGGCTATGCCAAAGGGCAGTCTCTCATCTGGAGAAGTAGACAAACCTGACCCTGTGTATATGGGGTCTACAGGGAATTTTTATCCAAACTTACAGGCTTGTAAATGCCCCACATAAACAGTCTTGTGTCACATCCTGCCCTGCAATAGTCCAAATGTAAATAACGACTGTTGAAATCTGTATATGCATGTCTCTTTCAAAATGGCTAAGACCATTTCCTTTAATGTTGGAATGACTTCTTTCTTTGTTATAATTTCCCAAACATAATTTCTTTGCTTGTATCCTCTGCTTGAAGTAATTTGGCTATTTTACTTTATAATTACTCTTAAAGACATGTTAAATATTTCCAGATATACATTTATTGGTGATTACTGTTTAAAATAGCTATTTATCAACTTTTCTTTGAAATGTATTCTGTTGTTCCCCCAGCCCATACTCACATCTGAGAAATTCAGAATGTAGAATTAGTAAATGCTAATAAATCTGTTCAAAACAACAAGGGTGGTGTCAATGTCTAAATCCAGTCTCAAATTAAAAAAAGCAGAAAAGATGAGTAATATAGAAATCGGAAATCACAAGTCTAATGTCAAAAGTCTAAGAGGTAAAACAGGGTCAACAAATCCAACTAATTCTAATGCAGCTAACTCATTCTTGCTCATGAACCAAAAAATACACATCCTCTCATCAAGAAAAGCAATGGCTTTTATTGAGACAAATTTTTCAATTGGTTGCAATAGTCGGGAAGGATAAAAGAAAATATACCATATGTGAGGCAGTAATTGGCTCGGATTTCTTTCTCTTGTTTTCTTTTTTTTTTCCTCTTGTTTTCTTCTTTTCTTTTTTTTTTCCTCTTGTTTTTTCTTTTCTTTTTTTTTTTCCTCTTGTTTTCTTCTTTTCTTTTTTTTTTTTTCCTCTTGTTTTCTTCTTTTCTTTTTTTTTTTTTTCTCTCTGCAAACAGTGCATAGGTCACACTCTTTTTGGGGATATGTGATTTTCCCCTTTGCCACAACTGAACATTTTAAATACCTTGGTATATGGATCGGTTATAACAAATTTAATATCAGAGATAAGGAAATTGAACAAATAGACTTCACTGGTAGTAGTTTTATCCAAAGATGCAAGATGCTACAAAACCAAAATATTAATCTAAGAACTCTCGTAATATTCTTAAATAGCTTCATCAGATCAAGACTTTCATACGGATGCCATTCAGAAATGTCTAAACTGTCATCTGCATAAACCCACTTTATCAGATCAATGATTTAAAATATCTTTGAATGAATCTTGTAGGTCTTGGAGAGGACAATCCATCCTTCTTTAAACCTTAAAGACTAGCACTACAGAATCACAGAACTCTACCACATGACAGAAACCACATCACTTGAGGACTTTTAAGATTTGGTTTGGTTTGTTTTAAATCAACCTCAATGGGTCATTTAACGCCAACAACTTTTTTTTTTTTTTTTTTTTTTCTTGGTAATATTTTTTCCTCAAAAATGTATAGCTAGTAATATTATTTTAAAAAATGTATTGCTGGTAATAGTTTATTTTTATTTTTTTATTTTTTTTTTTTTTCTTGAAAAATTTATTTCTGGTAATTTTTTACAAAGTATTTCTGTTATTAAAACCTATTTTTACACTTTCATAATGCTTTTTACTTCAGTTTCGGGGTTAGCTATTTGCCCATAGCTGGGACCCTAACAGGTGCTACCACACCGGGTCAAGGTGGACCTGGGAACACCAGCAATTAAGAGGTGGTTCCACGTTCCTTGAAACTTCCTGATCAGAGGCCTTGCTGTTGGACGTAGTTTATTGTCTTACCCAGGACGTGGATGTAGTTTATCGTCATACCCAGGACAGACTTAACAAGAGGAACAACTAAAATGTATACCACATATAACTAGAAGTAAAAATGATATAATCAAGGAGTTCGTATTCCACACTAGTGACAATAATAGTGAACTTGAGAAACCTGTTTTCTTGAAACTTTAATAGAAAGATTTTATAAATTTGAACTGAAAGTAGCACTTTTTGGTCAATGAATGTTGTGTTTTTGTATAAAGGAAACCGTTGATATTACCATTACTGCAATTCTCCAAATATCATTTTTACTTCTCTGTCCTTGCACAAGTTGAAGATCACCAGAGATATGGCCACTAAATTTCCTGTGCTCACTAATGAGACCCTGGGGGAAGTTTTTAGTGATCTATAAATCAACCATCTGTCCTTGCATGGAATACTGCTGTCATATATGGTCTGGTGCTTCCGCTGTACATCTTGAGGTCCTCGACAAAATCCAGAGATGAATATGCAATATGGTAGGTCCTGATCTGGCATCTAGTCTACAATCGCTTTCCCACAGACATGACATGGCTTTCATCTGTCTCTTCTAAAAGTATTTTCGCAGCAACTGTTCCGATGAACTGCTTTTGTTGGTTCCCAGACTGCATGAATTTAAGTGAGCTATCAGGCTAGCATCTTGGTCCCACCCACCCTTTCACTGTCAAAATGGCTAAATATAACTGTCTCTTCTACTCAAACAGCTTCTTCTCTTGCACTTCCCATCTGTGGAACTCCCTTCTCTTTACTTGCTTTCCCAATAACTATAATCTTCAAATATTGAAATTCTGTCAATCAACATCTGACACCCTGATCTTGTTCCCCAACCTTCTCTGTATTCTTTGCTCAAACACGCCTCTTTACTCTTGTTCTCAATCCTCTGCAACCCCTTGTGTGTTAGTAACACTCTCGGCTTGCTTTAAAAAGTGAATTGCTTTTAAAAAAAAAAAAATACTGGTTTTTGAAAACCTTGGATTTTTAATGAAGTGTTTAACTTAACAGTGTAAATATTATAAACCGGACCCAGATTTTGTGTCCATCAGCTTAGTTTAACTAAACATCTATTTATTTATTTATTTATTTATTTTTTTCCCTTTTTACTCTAAATATTTGTATCACTCTTCACTCCAATGTTTAAATATGATCAGTTTATGAAAGTGATGTTTTTCAAAGGTATGGTTTATTAAATATGTAGTTCAAATCTGATCTTTGATTGGGACCAATGAACCCATTCAGACCATCTCCTAATTTAAAATCTCACTAGTAGGGTAGATTTTTGGCTAGTACTTTTTAGATCTCAGGACAAACATGAAACTTTTTTTTTTTTTTTTTTTTTTTTTTTTTTTTTTTTTTAATGGTGGGTGGAATTAATTTCTTTTGATATTTTCTTTCTAACTTCAAAAACAACATTCAAAATCCTTGTTTTTAAATTTCAGCCCCTAGGTAGGATTCTGTTATTACATTTGGGATGTTTTAACCAAATCATTTGTTATGTTAGACATTTGCTTCTGAATTATCTTCTTTTTCTTTTTTTTTCTAGAGTATCATCATTTTTGCAGAAAACAGTTTTCACAGGACATATAGAAATTCCATGATGCCTCTCTGAAAATTAGAACACCAATAATTCATTATTTACATTCGAACTATTGTCCTCATCTTTGTTGTTGTTATCACAACATTTCAGCCGTTGTCCCCTCCAGCCTTCATCAGGTGGATATCAATCAATGAATTAAAGCAATGTTCATGAATTTGGTGAGATATTAAATTGTGAGTTCAATCACTTGGTTGGGTAGTTTGTACTTGGACTCGGTGGAATCGAGTGAGCAATAACTGAGTACTAAAAATATGAACTAGACATGGGCAGTGAAATGAGAACATTCTACTCCTTTTATATTAAATAAAGGGTTCAGTTCAGAATTTCTTGTAGGATTCATATATACCTGATGAAGGCCAGAGGACAATAGCTGAAATGTGATAACAACAAAGACTCCAAATGTAAATAGTGTAAATGATAACTCCTCATCCCAGAAATTACTAAGTAATTAAGTGATTCATATAAGTGCAATAAATTTAATTATATTTATCTATTTATATACAGTTCAAAGAAAAGAAACTGGTGTGTCTTTAAATTTTAAGAATTTTGCAAATGGCAGTAATTGTTAAAAAATTTTTGCCTGACAATTTCTTTAACTTTTACATTAAGGCTTATCTTCTACAGGATGTGCAATTGATATAATGAATAAGTACTCAGAATGAGATCTAAGTTCAAATTCCAGTTTTTGTTATATTCACTTATACCTTTCCCAAGAGTATTTTCATATGACTCCATCTTTTCTCCCCCCACCACCACAACTATGTGTTGAATAGCAGAACAGACTGGGTCCTATAGCCTTGATTGGCAACCAGTCTACCACAGAAAGACATGGCAGCCTACTGTTATGAATTGAAAGAGATATGATTACCCAATTGTGTATCCCAAATGGTACTTGACTTTATCTTCTGCAAGGATTTGTTTCTCTAAAAAGTTGTCTGTAGTTAAATACTGTTGTGACAAATATATTAGGGAAAATTTTAGATTTTGAATAGTTATTTTCTCTCTCTAATAATATTTATATAATAAAATAACTTTATTTCTATAATAACAGATTCATTAACAAGTCTGGCATATAACATTTTTAATTTGATCCATATTGAAGCAATGAGTTTCAATGGTACCTTAAGAATTAATTTCCTTGAGAGTTAAAGATTCAAGTATCTTGAGTTTGAACATTTTTTTCATTTTCAAATTAATCCATGAATTGTACCAGGGACAGCTCAGTTATTATTTTCTATAATTTTGTGGAAAACAAACTTTTTTTTTTTTTTTGCTTAAACTTGAATATCACATAATTCTGTTCATTTTTTCAATCAGTAAGTTCATAAGCATGTGTGTTTTATCCTGCCATTACCTGAGATAAATAATGAACCATTCCATTTTGATTGTGAGAAAAAACAAGTGAAAGATATTCAGAGATGCTGCTTGGTTTTAATGAGAAAAAGTATGCATACACAGTAATAACAATAAAAAAAGATTACTCATGTTTGTCTGCTTCAGTGAAATGGAAAATCTAGTCAGTTTTGAATCTTTATTTGTACCCTCTTACTTCTTTAAATAATGACTTGCATTCATACTTATAATTCCTGTTGCAATATTTTATTAAAGTTGTCAAATATTTAACGATGCAATGGGATAAATTCTGCTATTTTAAAGTTGTGAAGCTTGCAAGGAGTTTACTCAATCATTAAATTTAGAATTATGATTCATCAGGAAAACTGAAATTCTTATGAGTACTGCAAGGAAATTTAAATAGTATGGATAAAAAAAAAACATTGTTAAAGAATATAGTCTAGAGAAGGGATCCCCAACCAAAGGAGTGGGTTCAGGGAAGGGAGGGAAAAATATTTTATTTTTTCACAAGCTTCTCATTGACTGTAATCTTCATCAGAATAAAATCAATTTAAATACACTGACCTTTTATTGAACATTTTATTTATTGAATTACAATACCCTGACATTTTACTGGACTTTTTGCTTATTGAATTACAATACCCCTAGCATTCTATTGAACTTTTTGTTTATTGCAGTATGCTTCAGTTTATTTAGTAATACGAATTAAAACAAATTACTGTACATGTATTCAAGTTTGAAAAAAAACCATCAACATTTTCTATTGGTATTAAATTCATAAAACTCTTTATATGAAAATAATCCATAGATGTATATGTACTAATATGGAAAAAAAATGAAGATTTTCAAGAATATATGCATATTATTTGGAATGCACTTTTTGAGTCAGACATTCTGACTTTTGGTGAAAAGGGTGCATCAGGCAAAATAAGCTGAGGACCATTGACCTAACTATTCCTCAGGATGATGGAAAAATTGTTGCTACCCCATGTATCATCATACCCACTCCAGGTAAAGTCTAGGCAAAATGGAATAGCCCATTATTTATCGGGTATTAGCAGTGCATAAGGGTAGTGCTAACTAATGGATGGGCAAGCAGAATTATAAGATGCAGTAGATCAGGGGTTCTCAATGAGTGAGGAACAATGGGGGGGATTTCAGGATTACAGGGGGAATTGGGGCTACAGATTGGTAGACTCAAAATG